CTGTCACCTAGGCAATGGTGTGATCTCACTGTAGCCTCAACCTCCTGGGCTCAACCAATCCTCCCAACTAAGCCTCCTGAGTAGCTGGGACCACAGGCATGTGCCACCAAACCTGGCTAGTTTTCGTATTTTTTTGTAGAGATGTGTTTTCGCCATGTTGCTCAGGCTAGTCTTGAACTCATGAGCTCAAGCAATCTGCCCACCTTAGCCTCCCAAAGTCTTGGGATTACAGGCATGAGCCACTATGCCCAGACAATAATTCTTTCTTTCTTTCTTTCTTTTTTTTTTTTGCAACAGAGTCTCCCTCTATTTCCAGGCTAGAGTTACAGTGGCATGATCTAGGCTCACTGCAACCCGACTCCTTGATTCAAGCGATTCTCCTGCCTCAGCCTCCCGAGTAGCTGGGATTACAGGCACGCACCACCAGGCACGCACCAGTTAATTTTTGTATTTTTTTTTTAGTAGAGATGGGGTTTCACTATGTTGGCCAGGATGGGCTCGATCTCCTTACCTTGTGATCTGCCTGCCTTGGTGTCCCAAAGTGCTGGGATTACAGGCGTGAACCACAGCTCCTGGCCAAATTCTTTTATACATTGTTGGATTCAATTTGCTAATATTTCATTGAGAATTTTTGTATCTAAGATGCAAAAAATTTTCTATCATCTAAGATCATAAGGCATTTGGTCTATAGTAGTGACTTTCTCTGGTTTTGGTACTGACACAGCAATGGCATCATAGAATGAATTAGGAAGTATTCCTTCTGCTTCTATATTCTGAAAGAGACTGTAGATAACTGGTATAATTTCTTTTTTAATGTTTGGTAGAATTTGCCAGCAAACCCATCTGTGCCTGGTGCTTCCTCCTTTGGAAGGTTATTATTTATTCAATTTATTTAACAGATATAAATCTACTCAGATTATCTTTTTGTAGAGTTGGCAGACTGTGTCTCTCAAGGAATTGGTCAGTTCACCTAAATTATCAAATTGGTAGGTATAGAGCTGTTCATAGTATTCCTTTATTTTCCTTTTAATGTCCCTGGAATCTGTAGTAATAATCCTCTTTCATTTCTAACAGAAATAATCTGTGTCCTCTCTTTTTCTCTTAGCCTTGCTAGAGGCTTACACATTTTTATTAATATTGTCAAAGAACCAGCTATTGGTTTCATTGATTTTCTCTACTGATTTCCTGGTTTTAATTTTACTGACTTCTGCTCTAATTTTATTATGTCTTTTCTGCTGCTTACTTTGGATTTAATTTGCAGTTTTTTTGGGATGGAGTTTTGTAATTTGTTGCCCAGGCTGGATTGCAGTGGTGTGATTTTGGCTCACTGCAACCTCTGTCTCCCAGGTTCAAGCAGTTCTCCTGTCTTAGCCTCTCCAGTAGCTGGGATTATAGGCGCCCACCACCACACCTGGCTAATTTTTGTATTTTTAGTAGAGACAGGGTTTCACCATGTTGCCTAGGCTGGTCTTGAACTCCTGACCTCAGGTGATCCACCCACCTCAGCCTCCCAAACTGTTGGGCTTACAATGTAAGCCACTGCACCCAGCCTAATTTGCCTTTTTTTCCCCAGTTTTCTAAGGTGGAAACTTAAATTATTGATTTTAGACCTTTCTTCTTTTCTTTTCTTTTTTTTTTTGAGACAGAGTTTCCCTCTGTTGCCAGGCACCAGGCTTGAGTACAGTGGTGCAGTATCGGCTCATTGTAACCTCCACCTCCCAGGTTCATGCAATTCTCCTGCCTCAGCCTCCCAAGTAGCTGGGACCACAGGCACACACCACCGCGCCCAGCTAATTTTTGTATGTTTTAGTAGAGACGGGGTTTCACCATGTTGGCCAGGATGGTCTCGATCTCCTGACCTGATGATCCGCCCGCCTCGGCCCCCCAAAGTGCTGGGATTACAGGCGTGAGCCATCATGCCTGGCTGACCCTCTTCTAACATTTGCATTCACTGCTATACATTTCCCTCTAAGCATGACTTTCACTGGATCCTATAAAGTTTGATAAATAATGTTTTCATTTTCAGTTAGTTCAAAATATTTTTAAATTTCTCTTAAGATTTCTTCTTTGATCCATGCATTAATCAGAAGTAGTTGTTTAATCTCCACATATTTTGGGATTTTCCAGTTATTTTTCTATTATTTTATTTTATTTTATTTTTGGCTGAGTACAGAAGACTTTACTGATGGTACATGACAAGGTGGGGCTCTCTAGGGCCCTCCCATTCTTCAGAGGATATGGCATGAAAACTGTGGTAGAGTGGAGATTCTTGGTGTGGTGGCGGATAGAATGTGGCAGGAACTTCTTAGCAGCTGAGAACCTCTCTTTTTCTCTCGTGCTGTCACTAGGGCTTGTGGTCCAGAGGGCTGTTACTCATTGGAGGCCATGTGGACCATGAGGTACACTATCCCATTGCTATAGCCAAAGTCATTGTCATACTAAGAAATTAACTTGAAAAAGTGGTTGGTGAGGGCAATGCTAGCTCCAGAATTGAAGGTGGAAGAGTGTCACCATTGAAGTCACAGGGGACAACTTGGTGTTCAGTGTAGCCCAGTGTGCCCTTGAAAGGACCTTCCAATGCCTGCTTCGCTGTCTTCTTGATGTCATCATATTTGGCAGGTTATCCAGACAGCAGGTCAGGTCCATAATTAACACACAGGTGGTAGGGATGAGGAAGGCCATGCCAGTGATCTCTCCATTTGGCTTGGGGATGTCCTTGCTCACAGCCTTGGAAGTGCCAGTAGATGCAGGAATAATGTTCTACAGAGCCCCACAATCATCACGTCACAATTTCCCAGAAGAGCCATCTATAGGTCTCCTGGGTGGCAGTGATGGCATGGACTGTGGTCATGAATCCCTCCATGATGCCAGAGTTGTCATGGATGATCTTGGTCAGAGATGCTAAGCAGTTGGTGGCCCAGGAGGGAATGCTGATAACTGTGAGGTTGCTTTTGTACTTCTCATGGTTCATGCCCATCACAGACAGGGGATCAGAGGGAGCAGAGATGATGACTCTTTGGCTCCCACTTCTAAATGAGTACCAGCCATAACCAAGGTAGTGAAGACACCAGTTGACTCCACAACACAATCAGTACCAGTATCACCCCATTTGATTTTAGTGGGATCCTGCTCCTGGAAGATGGTGATAGGATTTCCACTGACGACAAACCTCTGATTCTCAGCCTTGATAGTGCCATGGAACTTGGCATTAGTGGAATCATACTGGAACACGTAGACCATGTAGTTGAAGTCAGTGAAATGGTCACTGATGACAATACCCACTTTGACAGAGTTAAAAGCAGCCCAGGTGACCAGATGCCTAGAACAGCCAAATCTGTTTACTACAATCTTCAATTTCACCATGTCTCAGGGACATGGCTAGTGCTGCATGAGATGTAGTCCTTTATTTCATAGAAGGAGCAGAGAGCCTATCTTTCTGCTATTGATTTTCAGTTTAATTCCACTGAGTTCTGAGTGTAGACATTATGTGACTAATATTTTTTAAAATGTATTTATGTCAGGCCTTCAAGTGAAAATGGATAAGAAGCAGACATAGTAAGGAGGAAAGAGACATAAAATAAACAGAAATGGCCAGAAAAGAAGGGGAAAAAAAGGTAAACTGCCTCTCTTTAATGTTTTTAAAGAATTATTTTTTTTTGAGGCCGGCACGGTGTCTCACGCCTGTAATCCTAGCACTTGGAAGGCTGAGGTGGGCATATCAGTGGATCACCAGATCAGGAGATCGAGTCATTCCAGCCAACATGGTAAAGCCCCGTCTCTACTAAAAATACAAAAAGTAGCTGGGCATGGTGGTGTATGCCTGTAGTTCCAGCTACTCAGGAGGCTGAGACAGGAGAATTGCTTGAACCTGGGAGGCGGAGGTTGCAGTGAGCCAAGATCACACCACAGCACTCCAGCCTGGGTGACAGAGCGAGACTGAATCTCAAAATAAATAAATAAATAATTTTTTAAAAAATCACTTGACTACTTCACTGCCTTACAAACAAAGCTTGGTAATTCTGATTCTTCATTTTCAAATTCATGTTACTGCGTTTGTCCTTACCTTTATTTTAGGGGAATACGCTATGAATTGGACACACATAAGAATTTCAGAAGACAACAAATCTATATAAAGAAAAGGACCAATACTTCATTTATTTGGTCTAAACATTTAGCAATTTCAGTCATGTACAACTAGCTATAATTAGAGAACTAATTACTGAGATTGAGAAGAAATAAAACCAGCCAAAAGCAACAGAAGCATGCTGCTAATTTCTGATTTTTCTAGCATAAAAAATTGGAGTCAGCAGGAAGGAGCACCATTAATAGCAAAGAAACATAGATATGGCAAGAAAAACAAAGAAGAGACATGAAGGGGAAAAAATGAAGGATCAGGACTTCAAGTGAAATCCTGGGATCAGAACTTCAAGTGGGATCAGGACTTCAAGTGAAAATGGGTAAGAAGCAGACACATTAAAGAGGGAATAGATATACAATGAACAGAAGTGGCCAGAAAAGAAGAATAAAAAAATGTAAACTATCCTAAACTGTGGGATAATTCACTAAAAGGAAAAGCCAAGCCCTTAAAACTAAATAACTCTTATTAGGGTATTACTATGCCATATTAAAGCATACCATTAACACAGGAATCTGGGCACATTTGGTAGAAAAGAAAAGAGCCATGCAAACTTTTAGTAAATATAAATGACTCTATATAGCACAACTGTCATAGCAAAAACTCTGAGTCATGAAGAAAAGATTCAAATATAACTGATTCTTATCAAGGCAAAAACAAGTATTTCATATATCTTAGCAAAAAATTTTATACAAGTGTATCCAAAAAAGTCCTGGCAATTAATGGGTACTTAATTAACTAGAAATATCAATCGTCTAGAGATCTGTGACTTTTCTAAGTGTTACCCAAAAAGATAATGGGGTAACATGAAAAGTAAAAAGTATTATCATCACTTTAGTTGAATTCTCTCAGAATTTTTACTTACCAGGGGGAAGATCATCAACTTTTGCTAGGTCATTCTCTTCTATTCCAGGCATCCCTGCATCACCACCTCTTTTGATTTGTTCTGCCCAAGTAACAAAAAGAGAATTGTACAATTTTTTTTTACATAATTTGAAAATGTTTTGAAGGAATGTAACAATCAGTTTCTAAAAGCAATAGGCTACATCAACTGAACATCTTTATATCTTGCTTTGGACACAGCTGTAACTCTAAAATAACTTATTCTTTTTTCTCTTCTACCAAAGGATCCAAATTTGAAACAATGCAGACACCTAATCATGTGTGAATTAAAATCAAACAATTTTATGATTGAAAATATTTACTTCAAAATAGGAAGAAAAAGTCAATATCCTATTAATACAAAACAAAATAGTAGTAATACCTTTCCCATGTGGAATATGATTGCTTGAGGGTTCTTCATTCTTATCTGCAACATTCTCAGCTACTTTTGGAATATTTTTAGATACTACTTGATCGTTTATACCCAATTCTTTTCCATTGTTTGATTGAACCTTGTGGGTCTCTTGCTGTTAGATAAAGATTTGATAACAATAAATATTTTTCAATGCAAATTGTTAAACCACTGACACAACTATTAATTAAATGTTCTCAAACAGTTCATTTTGTAAAACATATTCCATGGGTTCAAATAATGAACAATTGGAGATGTGGGAACATTATTTTCTGTGCAGTTTTTATACCTGGTAAAAAGTCAAAGAACAACACTATTGAAAGTCTCTAGTTACAGTAAATGAACAGTTTGGTAGGCAGAGGTAACTATTTGGCTATGCTGAGGTATGTGATTCTGCAAGACAGCTTGCTGAGCAATGTCGGTTGCCTTGATGGCCTACAATTGGGCATTATCCTGGGTGCTATGGACAGAGTGGGTACTCTGTAAGCATATGTAGAAATGAAGCAGGATGGCAGAAAGGAGGAAACTGGCAGACAGACACTTCTTCAAGAGCAAGGGTAAAAAACAGGCAATTTTATTCCTAAATGTGTTGGCACCAAAGCACAGAAAGTAATGGCAGGACAATAAACAGGTCAGTGCTTCCTCCAACCTGTTCCTAACCTAGCATCTTCTTAGAAATGTGAATCTTCACGTATATGGTTAGGCCTAACTTAATTCTCTTGGTGGACCGGTATTAAGTTTGCCTCCATGGAAAATTGGGAGTAGCAAGAAGTCAAGTACACATGCTTGGGATGCCATATAAATCCCTATAGTCAATATTTAATGCATCTATAAATGCTTTTTAAACTCTAAAGCAGTATGAAATGTAATTATTAGTAATATTACAAAAATAGTATAAAAAATCTATATGGAATCTGGAAAAACAAAAGCCAAAGCTTCGGAGTGTGTCACAGTAAAGGAGAAAGGTACTCTGACAATCAGGTATAGGTATTTCAGTGCCCTGGCAGATAAAATCAACAACAAATATTTGCATCGTGCTTCATAGTTTCCAAATTTCTTTCATATCTGTGCTTTAGCAGCCATAAGCAGACAGTTCTGAGAAAAACAAAATAAAACTGAGGCTTTAAAAAGTTAAGCGGTTTGTCTAAAGTCACAAAGCTAGAGAACTGTGAAGAAGGAATTCTAACAAGTCTTTTTGACTCCAAATCCCACATTTTCTGGCAAGTTGGTAAGCTGTAATCAATTCTGATAGCTTAATCATAGACTAATGAAATGATAAACTGAAATTTTTGAACATATCAATATGAATGCCAAGGGTGAGAAATCCATGAGGCACAAGCGGAGCAGCCATCTTGAATCTGTGCATCTTCACTATAATGCTATCTCATAAGGCTATTGCTATAGTTACTCTTCACTCTTTTGCAGATTGGATGAAGCAAATATTGAACAAAATTAAAAGTCAACAAGCTACCATTCAAAAATACTTTTCCACTGGAAATAGTTAACAAAAATGTCCCTTTAATGCATTTTGTATAATACCTTTCTACGAATGGACAATATTAATATTAATAAAATAAGATGCCTTTCTAGATGCAATATTTATGATCTGGTTAGGGGGCTTCCTGATTGTTTTTTAAATAAACTTCTTATTCTTTTTTTTTTTTGTATTGAAAGTAGCAATTTGAGTTAAAATTATTTACAAAAACCCAAAGACATACTTCATGAAACTGATACAAACTATTTTTTCCTGCTGTTGGCTTCTGCTCCAAAGATCACAGCTAAGAAATAATGTATAAAATAAAAATAGGATTGGATTCAGAAAAGTACTCTACTGTTCTAATTTCCAATTGGTGGTACTTACAGAAATATTTACAATGGAAAAAAAGGTTACCTTAAAACTTTAATCTGCATGCAAGTCAGCCTCAAGTACCCTAAAATGCAGAGTTCTCTGAGGGTTAAAAACACACAAATGCACTGCAGTTGGTGAAGTGATTATCTCCCCCACCACCTCCCCCGACCAAAATCTGCATCTCAATCAGTGTTTGACAATTAGTTATTATTTAAAAAACAAAATAAAACAAAAAACTGTTAAACACTGAGGTTAAATCAACTCTCAAATGATTACCAGTGTAACAGAAAAATGTAGTTTGCCCTGATTGTTCTCATCCAAATGTTTTATAATATTCCTTATCATCTGCCACAAGTCAGGTTCACCAAAAATCTGTCCCTTTTCCTAAATCCAATGATTATCAATATATTTTGCATTTTAAAAAAATTAAACAAAATATATCTAATTTAATTTTATGGGTATCATTTACCAATATGCTTTTAAAAATATTTTGCTAAGCTAGCTTTAATACTCAAGGCAAATACAATCTCAATGGTTCCCACATTACACTGGCATGCTATGTTCTTAAAAGGTGATGGGTAGGGATTGGGGTGGGTAGAACGAAGAAAACAATTTGCCTGGAATCAGTTACTTCTAAGGATTTCCCAACAATCTGCGTTATCAAAAATAGGAAGACAATAGAAGGCAGCCACTGCATTTAAAAACATTACAGCTGGCACTGATACAAGAGCCCCGATTTGTCACTTTATACAAGGAAATAACAAAGTCTAAATGAGTAAAAATTAGACTTTTAGCTATTTTCCCCAATACACACCAAACTAATATTTTTATGGCTTCAAGTTTTTCAAATCCAATGAAGAAACATGATGTAACTACTTAAAAGGTATTTAAAATGTATTAATGAATAAGATCTCTAGAAAGCCTGTATTCAGGCCCAATCAATAAAAAGGAAAAAAACAAAGTATAACCAGTGGTCTGAAAAATAATTAACACAAGAAAAATTTGCAATGTTGTGAAATTAAATCTATAAAATGTTTTGTGTTCCACTAACTGTTTTTCAAACAACGGCTCTATGAACAAAGAATCTGAATGAAAAAAGGGTCTTCTCTAAACCAGCAATTTAAGGCTTTGCCCTTAGGCAGTTGATCTGTCACTCTACAGAAGAATAAACATGTTATCTGAAAACATGAATTCCACATTGGTGTTTTAGCTTCCTTATATTTATTGTATTGAACATTAGAAAATATATCCAGAGAGTCTTTCCTCAAAACTTAATGTTTTAAGAGCCTCCCTAGCATTAAGTGTAAACTACCCAGGTTTGACTATTTTGCTTCCTCCTTTAACAGGGCATATCATCTTATATAATATTCCCTCAAAGGTTACTTGTGTTGTCTATATCTATGACACATTATGGTATGATACTGAATATGGTTGTGGTCTCAAAAGTAAAAAAACCTAACCCAAACCTAATCAAGAATAAAAAAAATATGCTATTAATCTCTTGTATCTTTGGATTCCATCTAATTTTAAGTATAGACAGTAGTTCAGGGAACAACCACCAAAAAATTCACAGAATTATTAAAAGCTTTATTTACGACTGGAATCATTCAACAAAAAAGCAAAAGCAAATGAGCCTGAAAAAGGAACTAAGCTGTTGTCTAGAATGTCCTCAGAACATTCACTACCCTCAGTAGCCAAGCTGCCTTTGCACCTGGAGGGCATGACAACAGTGGCTCAACATACACAGCAGTTGCACTAACAGCAGCACAAGTTTTCCCCTTAAAACTTGCAAGAGAACAAGGGGAGGGTATAAACTCTGCCAAAGTAATGTATTTAAATACTGCATGGAATTGTTAACAGCCTGAACCTTTTCCCTTGCTACAATGACAGTTGATGTAGTAACTGTCATTTAGCAAATGCTGAATGCATGATGATGAAATCAGGTGGCCTTAAAAATCCAAACATGAATGATATTGATGAATGTTCTTGGTATGTGTTCAAGGACTTCTTCCATGACTCGACTTTTCTTTGTCTAAGGATAGCTCCAGCATTACCAAGCATCTGAAGCAAAGGGAAAGCGGCTAGCAATGTTCCAAATACTCAATCACTAGAGATAGATTTCTGGCCAGTTGTTCCAACAGCACAAGTAAGATTCATGAAGCTCAAAAATTTATTGAGCATTTCTGTCATTAATGAAAAGTCTCCTTCTGGCAGATATTCCCACACAGTGGTTACATTGATTGGACTTTCCTGGCAGAGACACCCTACAAGTAGTGCTGTGTAGGAGGCCACGATGCAATCCTCCATGTGTTTGCCGGCTTGCTGAAGGGCTTTATTGAGGTCAAGTTCTTCATCATCCTCCTCCTTATTGTTTCTCTTCTGTACCACCAGTCTTTTCAGTTGACATCCACTGTATTTCTCCACTTGTTTCTTGCTGCTCTCCACTCTTATCATGCTGAGTGGTGGGAGCATCTTTGATCAACTCATCTGTTTTACTTCTGCTAGCTGGGCTGCCCACTCTTGCTCAAGGAATAGCTGCACTAAAGCCTGGACAGCATGAACTTGTCCAGCTATCCGTAAACGAACATCTCCTTCTCCAGTACAGATTAAACTTCTTATTCTGAAATAATTTTAGATTTACAGAAAATCTAAAATCCTGTTAACATAGCATCCATAATTACCATGGTACATTTACAAAACAAAACAAACAGTATCAGTACATTACTAGTACCTAAACTCCAGATTTATTTAGATTTCACCAGTTTTTCCATTAAGTCCTTTTTTGTTCCAGGATCCAATTCAGAAAACTACACTGCATTTATTTATTTATTTTATTTTTTTATTTTTGAGACAGAGTCTCACTCTGCTGCCCAGGTCGGAGTTCAGTGGCATGGTCTCAGCTCACTGCAACCTCCACCTCCCAGGTTTAAGTGATTCTCTTGCCTCAATCTCCCAAGTAGCTGGGATTACAGGTGGCTGCCACCATGCTGGCTAATTTTTTGTATTTTTAGTAGAGACAGGGTTTCCATATGTTGGTTGAGCTCCTGACCTCGTGATCCACCCCCTTGGCCTCCCAAAGTGCAGGGATTACAGGTGTGAACCACTGCGCCTGGCTATTATACTGCATTTAAGTCCTCAAGTCTCCTTAGTCTTCTTTGGGCTGAGAATTTTTCTGGTCTTATAGCATAAAAGCAGTAAACAAGCATGGCTGTTTCTCAATAAAATTTTATTTATGAACACCAAAATATAAGTTTCTTATAATTTTCCCATGTACTAAGATAATTTTCTTTTGTTTTTTCTTTCAACCATTTAAAAATGTGAAACCATTTTTGACCTTTTTTTTTTTTCTTTAGACAAGAGTCTCACTCTGTCACCCAGGCTGGAGTGCAGTGGTGCAATCTCAGCTCACTGTAACCTCCGCCTCCCAGGTTCAAGCCATTCTCCTGCCTTAGCCCCCTAGTAGCTGGGATTACAGGCGTGTGCCACCATGCTCAGCTAATTTTTGTATTTTTAGTAGAGATGGGGTTTACCATGTTGGTTAAGCTGGTCTTGAACTCCTGACTTTGTGATCTGCATTGGTCTCGCAAAGTGCTGGAATTACAGGCGTAAGACACTACATCCAGCCTTTGGGTTCTAAACAGTACAAAAAGAGGGAATGAGCTGATTCAGCCTGTGGGCTACAGTTTGCTGACTCCTTTTCCAGAGTCATTTCTATGATAGACATGTGCTTGGTTAATTAATTTAAAAATTAATAAACAAACAATCAAAAAGATAAAGCCCTGAACACAAACTATGCTTATTTCATATAGCTAACATTAGATGTATCTCTAAGAAAACTCAAATTGCACAGAACCAACTTGCTACAGTAGTTAAAGAACAGAAAATGAAGGATGGGGAGGAGAATTAGGTAGCTGGTCTAGAGAGTAAAGGCTGATGTGCTACCCAGAAAGGAGAAGTTCTCTGGGCACCTCAATTCCTGCCATGCCTTGTTCCCTTTAGGATAGGATAATGGCAAGGAAGAATTGGAGAGGCATTAGCTAATTAATAACATAAAAAATAGCCTAGTATAGAAGAACAGAAAGAATTACAATGGCTTGGAAAAAAAAGGAAAGTTCTCATCTACCTTCATTAAGAGAATAGAAGTGAGCAAACTTATCCCATTATTTTTATACTACGCTTATAATGACACAATTGCAATAGCAAACCTCTCTTCCCCTTCCTTTTGTATTCTAACATCTTCTTTTAACCCTCCAGTGTCTCCATAATACCTTTTGGTTACCCTCAATGCCTCTACTATGGTAGCTCACTAAGGCTTGTTTTCTTCCACCAATCCATCCTCATACCTCTTCAAAGTAGACTGCAGATAGGCAGCAGCTATTCCACTTTGTAGATTTTCAAAATGCAATAGAGAAAGAAATGACATCCTCTATATCCTACTACAAAATTGTGAAAAGGCTAAGAATGAAAACCTGATATCCTTAACTTCTAGTCCTTTAGTCAAGATGCTACCAAAAAGCAAAACAAACACTTTTCACTTTTAATTCTTTCCTTTAAATCACAAGAGTACATACAAATCATGCCTAGTCAGGTAAGACTACAGGGTATAAAAAATGAATCATGTCCTAATAACTAGTAATCTTCACACAATTTCTTCTGTTGCTGAAAGAATCTACATAGGCTGGGCGCGGTGGCTCACGCCTATAATCCCAGCACTTTGGGAGTGGCGGGTGGATCAGGTCAAGAGATCGAGACCATCCTGGTCAACATGGTGAAACCCCGTCTCTACTAAAAACAATACAAAAATTAGCTGGGCATGGTGGTGTGCGCCTGTAGTCCCAGCTACTCAGGAGGCTGAGGCAGGAGAATTGCTTGAACCCAGAAGACAGGTTGTGGTGAGCCGAGATCGTGCCACTGCACTCCAGTCTGGGTAACAACAGCAAAATTCCGTCTCAAAAAAAAAAAAAAGAATCTACATAATACATATTAATTCAAAATAAATTAATTAAAAAAAGAATTTACCCCCCCCCCCAAAAAAAGTATGAATCAAGTTGGTTATAGTGGTTAGTGTCTCAATTCTGTGTTTTAGGGCAGGGTGTCAGAATAACAGAAACTGATAATAAAGGAAAAAGTATCTTATTTTCTTTTTCTATTTCTCAAATGCATAAAAAAGGAAGTAGTTGATTTTCAGTAAAATGTTGCCCACTTTACAATCTGAGAAATATATTAACAACAATTTTTTTTTTAAAAAAAGATATTTTGGATCAAAATTAGCTTTAGATATATATATATATATCTAGAGATATATATATATATTTTGAGACAGAGTCTCACTCTGTTGCCCAGGCTGAAGGACAGTGGTGCAATCTTGGCTTACCGCAACCTCTGCTTCCTGGGCTCTAACAGTTCTCCTGTCTCAGCCTCCTGCGTAGCTGAGATTACAGATACCACAGGCCCGGCTATTTTTTGTATTTTTAGTAGAGATGGGGTTTCCCCATGTTGACCAGGCTGGTCTTAAACTCCTGACCTCTGCCTGCCTTGGCCTCCCAAAGTGCTGAGAATTCAGGCACTGCACCTGGACAGTTTTAAGAATTAAGATTACATTTTTTGCAACTGTTTAATAGACTCGGAAATAAAGTCATTGTAAATCGCTTTTGAAATTAGGCTGGCTGGAAAACTTACAATATTTTGTGACAAATTACAATTTTGATTTCTAAATTACCATGACTTATAAAAAAGATGTCTGGATTTAAGAACACTTAAAAAATTTACCTTTTGTTCCTGCAAAAACTGGTCTGCTAACTTTTTAATATTTTCTTCATGCTGTGCTCGCAATTCCTTGATCTGCTGTCCACACTGAAAACTAAATTACAAAGTCATTCTTTTAGATTACATTATCTTGAATTGGATTCTCAAAGTTGTCCAGAAGTTGACACATACATTAAGAAAGATAAAACATTCAGTCAGCAGGGAAGAGTGGGTTGGAAAAAACAACGAGCATACAAATAGCTCACATAAAATTTTAAAAACACTTGAACTTATAGGAGACAGATAATACTGATAAAGCTAATTGCGAAAACAGAAATTACAAAGCTGAAAACAGTTATTTTCCTATTATTCCCATAAATTGCATCTATAAAAAAACTATCAAAACCAACTTCAATTACGGAAGAGAAAAATACTATAGAAGAGAAAACTGAGACCAATTTATACTAAGAGATGAGGAAACCTAGAATTATGAGAGTTAATAAGGAGTGGTAGCAGATGATTCATCCAATAGTACTTTAAACACTATAATAAAAGACTAAACCATAGAATACTAGAAATGAAAGAAACTAATAAAGAAGATAGACTCGTGCCATCAAGAGAAAGTGAACAGAAGTAAAACAGATAAAGATGGTGACTTTCTGCTGACCAAGTAGTCAAAGGATACACAAAGACCAATCATGCAAAAAAAAACAGTTAACAAATATATAGAAAAATGTTAAATCTCACCATTATACAATGCAAAATAAACTTCCTATATGTGGCTGGGCACAGTGGCTCATGCCCATAATCCCAGCACTTTGGGAGGCCAAGGCAGGCAGATCACTGGAGGCCAGGAGTTCAAGATCAGCCTAGCAAGCACAACAAAACCCTGTCTCTACTAAAGATAGAAAAAAACTGGTCAGGCATGGTGGCACGTGCCTGTGGTTCCAGCTACTCAGGATGCTGAGGCATAAGAATTGCTTAAACCCAGGAGGCAAAGGTTGCAGTGAGCTGAGATCGTGCCACTGCACTCCAGCCTAAGTGAAAGAGACAGACTCAGTCTCAAAAAAAAGAAAAAACAAAATAACCCACCAACTTCCTGTATGTGTATATATATAGTAGTATCTTATTCATATACTAGCAAAATGAAATTAGAATTAAAACCAAATTCTAGGATCATGGGGAAATATCTACATTATAAATGAGTATAATAATTTTAGAAAGCAATCTTTCATCTATGCTGTAAAAGCAACAAAACTGGTAGAGCATTCTTTCTGAGGAATTCTACATTTGACAAAATATGCTACTGAAATAACATAATGGGAGGGAATATCTTTATTTATTTATTTATAGACAAGGTTTCATTCTGTTGCCCAGACTGGAGGGCAGGCATGATTATGGCTCACTGCAGCCTCAACCTCCCAGGCTCAAGTGATCCTCCCACCTCAGCCTCCCGAGTAGCTGGGACCACAGGTATGTACCAGTACACCCAGCTAGTTTTGGGAAATATTTTTGCAAGGAAATTTTTATAGCTGTGATAGTCTTTTTATTTTTTAAAGAGACAAGGTTTCACCCTATCACCCAGGCTAGAGTGCTGTAGTATCATCATGGCTCACTGCAGCCTCAATCACCTGGGCTCAAGCAATCCTCCCATCTTAGCCTCCTAAGGAGCTAGAGTGCAGTCATGTGCCACCATGCCCAGCTAATTTAAAAAAATTTTTTGTAGAGACAGAGGTTTCACTATGTTGCTTAAGCTGGTCTTTAACTCCTGGGCTCAATTGATTCTCCGATCTCAGCCTCCCAAAGTGCTGGGATTATAGGTGTGAACCATTTACCTAAAATCTTAAAGTCAGAAGAGAAAAACTCCTATTGTGGTCCCACAGTTGAAGAGACTAAAGAAGTTCTGGTACATTAATATGCTAGAATAATATACTACCTCTGCATATATAAGAAGTCAGAAATGAACAAAAATGCTTTAAAATATGGCAAATCTTTCTAATTTTTGGAGTATAGATCTAAAGAATATCTTTTACAATAAAATTGATTAAAAATATAATAAAATTTTTAAGGAGTTATAGCTAGAAAGGCCAGTAAGAAGTTTCCCAACCTCGGGGCCGGGCGCGGTGGCTCAAGCCTGTAATCCCAGCACTTTGGGAGGCCGAGGCGGGTGGATCATGAGGTCAAGAGATCGAGACCATCCTGGTCAACATGGTGAAACCTCGTCTCTACTAAAAAATACAAAAAATTAGCTGGGCATTGTGGCACACGCCTGTAATCCCAGCTACTCAACAGGCTGAGGCAGGAGAATTGCTTGAACCCAGGAGGCGGAGGCTGCGGTGAGCCAAGATCACGCGATTGCACTCCAGCCTGGGTAACAAGAGCGAAACTCTGTCTCAAAAAAAAAAAAAGTTTCCCAACCTCATCACCAAGTGTAGAGGTATCAGCAAGAGGGTTGACATACAGAGCAGGAAGAGTAGCCAGCATTCAGTCCCTCAGATCTTCTGGGAACATCTCCCAATGCTAGCTTCATCTTCTAGATGCCCATCAAAAAGAATCACAAATCTTCTATCTTTGCCACATAAAATTTGATAAAACTTAAGAACTTGGGGGTGAGGAGAAGATGGTGGCGCTATAGGAGCAACTCAGGATTGCAGGTCCCAGTGAAAGCACAGAGGGTGAGTGGACGCCACATTTCGAGACAGATCTTTATTGCCCATAGACCAGGAGATTCCCAGGTGTAGGAGCCGCAGGGGCCGCCAGCGCAGCTGTTTGAGCCAGCAGAGCTGTTTTGGCCGGCGCGGCAGTGCAGTGGCACTCCGTACAAAATACACTGGTCTGGTTGCCCTGTTAAACTGGCAATTTGAGATTTGGGAAGTCAGATTAGCACATTCATCTGATTAAACGGGACTTAAACAGGACTTAAACAGTAAGCCAGGCCAGGAGAGTCCTGGGCAGCAACGTTGTTTCAGCCAGCACAGTGGGTCGCCACATGGGAAATCACACAGATCCCGGTACCCTTTCAGCACGCGGCTGGAACTCCGGGGAGAGAGTCAACCGTTCAACTTAAAAAAAAAAAGGGGGGCTCTGAGGCAGGGAGCCAGGTGATCAGGGTCGGCAGGTCCCACCCCCACAAAAACAAACAAAACAGCAATGGAAACACTTGGGGTTGAGAGTTTCACGGCAAGCACAGCTGAACGCAGGACGGTGCCGCTTGGTGGGGGAAAAGCATCCACCATTACCAAGGCACCCTGCCACTGCTGACGCAGCCTGCCATTGCTGAGGCAACCCGCTGTAACAGAGAGAGTCCACCATTACAGAGGTGGGCCACCAACACCACGGCAGTTCTAACCACACCCATATAAACAGGACTACAGGGAATTACACACGAAACAGGGCGGAGCCCACGGCAACACGGCGGAGCCCAGAGCAGCTCAGCATAGCCTCTGCAAGTAGGCAGTGACTAGACTGCCTCCTTACTGGGCAGGACAGTGCAACGGATACTCATAAATAAAGCCCTAACTCCCCGGGACAGAGCACCTGAGGAGAAAAAGGGACTATATGAGTTCTGCCGCAGCAGACTTAAACATACCTGCCTAGCAGCCCTGAATGAACAGAGCTCACAGCTCAGCACTTGAGCTCCTATAAAGTACAGACTGTCTCCTCAAGCAGCTCCCTGACCCCCATATATCCAAAGAGTCACCTCACAAAGGACTGATCAGACTGACTTGGTGGGCATCATTCTGGGACAAAGATAGCAGAAGAAGAAACTGGTAACAACCCTTATTGTTCCGCAGCTGCTACAGGTGTTCCCCAGGCAAGCAGGGCCTAGAGTGGACCTCAGCAGTCCTACAGCAGAGGGGCCAGACTGCTAGAAGGAAAACGAAGAAACAGAAATACTTCATCATCAACAATCTAGACATCCACTCGGAGACCCAATCGGAAAATCAGCAACTACTCAGACAACAGGTGGATAAATCCACAAAGATGGGAAGAAACCAGTGAAAAAAGGAGGAAAACAACCAAAACTGGAACACCTCGCCTCCTACAAGAGACCGCAAGCCCTCAGCAGGAAGAGAACAAAGCTGGACAAAGAATGAGTGTGATGAAATGACAGAATCAGACTTCAGAAGGTGGGTAATAAGAAACTTCTGTGAGCTAAAAGAACACGTACTAACTCAATGCAAAGAAACTAAGAACCTTGAAAAAAGATTTGACGAAATGATAACAAGAACGAAAACTTAGAGAGGAATATAAATGAATTGATGGAGCTGAAAAACACAACATGAGAACTTCGTGAAGCATGCACAAGTCTGAACAGCCAAATTCACCAAGCAGAAGAAAGGATATCAGAGGTCGAAGATCAACTCAATGAACTAAAACGAGAAGGCAAGATTAGAGAAAAAAGCACAAAAAGGAATGAAAAAAGTCTCCAAGAAATGTGGGACTATGTGAAGAGACCTAATGTACGTTTGATAGGTGTACCTGAATGTGATGAAGAGAATGAATCCAAGCTGGAAAATACTCTCCAGGATATTATCCAGGAAAATTTCCCCAAGCTAGCAAGGCAGGCCAATATTCAAGTCCAGGAAATACAGAGAACACCACAAAGATATTCCTCAAGAAGAGCAACCCCAAGGCACATAATCATCAGATTCAACAGGGTTGAAGTGAACGAGAAAATGCTAAGGGCAGCCAGAGAGAAAGGTTGGGTCACCCACAAAGGGAAGCCCAACAGACTCACAGCAGATCTCTCGGCAGAAACACTACAAGCCAGAAGAGAGTGGGGGCCAATATTCAACATCCTTAAAGAAAAGAACTTTCAACCCAAAATTTCATATCCAGCCAAACTGAGCTTTATAAGTGAAGGAAAAATAAAATCCTTTGCGAACATGCAAGTACTCAGAGATTTTGTCACCACCAGGCCTGCTTTTCAAGAGCTCCTGAAAGAGGTACTAACATTAAAAAGGAACAACCCATACCAGCCATTCCAAAAACATAACAAATGCTAAAGAGCATCAACAAAATGAAGAATCTGCATCAACTAACGGGCAAAACAGCCAGCCAGCATAAAAATGGCAGTATCAAATACACACATAACAATATTAACCCTAAATGTAAATGGGCTAAATGCACCAATCAGAAGACACAGACCGGCAAATTGGATAAAAAGCCAAAACCCATCATTGTGCTGTATCCAGGAAACCCATCTCACATGCAAGGATACACAAAGGCTCAAAATAAAGGGATGGAGGAAGATTTACCAAGCAAATGGAGAGCAAAAAAAAAAAGCAGGAGGTGCAATTCTCGTCTCTGATAAAATAGACTTTAAAGCAACAAACATTAAAAGAGACAAAGAAGGACATTACATAATGGTAAAAGGATCGATGCAACAAGAAGAGCTAACGATCCTGAACATATATGGACCCAATACAGGAGCACCCAGATATATAAGGCAAGTTCTTAATGACTTACAAAGAGACTGAGACTTCCACACCATAATAGTGGGAGACTTTAACACTCCACTGTCAATATTAGACAGATCAACCCAGACAGAAAATTAACAAGGATATCCAGGACTTGAACTCAGACCTGGAACAAGCACACCTGATAGACACTTACAGAACTCTCCACCCCAAATCCACAGAATATACATTCTTCTCAGCACCACATCACACCTACTCTAAAATTGACCACATAATTGGAAGTAAAGCACTTCTCAGCAAATGCAAAACAACTGAAATCATAACAAACAGTCTCTAAGACCACAGTGCAATCAAGTTAGAACTCAGAATTCAGAAACTAACTCAGAACCGCACAGCTGCATGGAAACTGAACAACTGGCTCTTGAATGTTGACTGGATAAACAATGAAATGAAGGCAGAAATAAAGAAGTTCTTCAAAACCAACGAGAAAGAAGACATATCAGAATCTCTGGGACACATTTAAAGCAGTCTCCAGAGGAAAATATATAGCAATAAGTGGCCACATGAGAAGAGTGGAAAGATCCAAAATTGACACCCTATCATCAAAATTGAAAGAGCTAGAGGAGCAAGATCAAAAAAACTCAAAACCTAGCAGAAGACAAGAAATAACGAAGACCAGAGCAGAACTGAAGGAGATAGAGACACAAAAAACCCTTCAAAAAATCAATAAATCCAAGAGATGGTTTTTTGAAAAGATCAACAAAATAGACCACTAGCCAGATTGATAAAAAAGAAAAGAGAGAATAACCAAATAGATTCAATAAAAAACAATAAAGGGGAAATCACCACAGATTCCACAGAAATTCAAACCATCATCAGAGAATATTACAAACAACTCTATGCACATAAACTAGCAAACGTGGAAGAAATGGATAAATTCCTGGAAACTTGTGTCCTCCCAACCCTAAACCGGGAGGAAGCCGAAACTATGAATAGACCAATAACAAGGTCTGAAGTCGAGGCAGCAATTAAGAGCCTACCACACAAAGAAAGCCCAGGTCCAGATGGGTTCACAGCTGAATTCTACCAGACACACAAAGAGGAGCTGGTACCATTCCTTCTGAAACTATTCCAAATAATCCCAAAAGAGGGAATCCTTCCCAAATCATTTTATGAGACCAACATCATCCTGATACCAAAATCCGGCAGAGACTCAACAAGAAAAGAAAACTTCAGGCCAATATCCATGATGAACATAGACGCAAAAATCTTCAATAAAATACTGGCAAGCCGATTGCAGCAACACATCAAAAAGCTTATCCACCATGATCAAGTAGGATTCATCCCGTGGATGCAAGGCTGCTTTAACACACTCAAGTCTATAAACGTAATTCACCACATAAACAGAACCAAAAACAAAAACCACATGATTATCTCAATTGATGCAGAGAAGGCCTTTGACAAAATTCAATAGCCCTTTATGCTAAAAACCCTCAATAAACTCGGTATCGATGGAACGTATCTCAAAATAATAAAAGCTATTTATGACAAACCAACAGCCAATATCATACTGAATGGGCAAAACCTGGAAGCATTCCCGTTGAAATCCGGCACTAGACAAGAATGCTCTCTCTCATCACTCCTATTCAATATAGTACTGGAAGTTCTAGCCAGACCAATCAGGCAAGAAAAAGAAATAAAGGGTATTCAAATAGGAAAGGAGGAAGCCAAATTTTCTTTATTTGTAGACGACATGATAGTATATCTAGAATACCCCATCGTCTCAGCCCAGAAACTTGTGAAACTGAGAAGCAACTTCGGCAAAGTCTCAGGATATAAAATCAATGTGTAAAAATCACAAGCATTCCTATACACCAATAACAGACTTAAAGAGAGCCAAATCAACAACGAACTGCCATTCACAATTGCTACAAAGAGAATAAAATACCTAGGAATACAACTCACAAGGAACGTAAAGGACCTCTTCAAGGAGAACTACAAACCACTGCTCAACGAAATAAGAGAGGACACAAACAGATGGAGAAACATTCCATGTTCATGGTTAGGAAGAATCAATATCGTGAAAATGGCCATACTGCCCAAAGTAATTTACAGACTCAACGCTATCCCCATCAAGCTACCAATGACCTTCTTCACAGAACTGGAAAAAAACCACCTGAAAATTCATATGGAACCAAAAGAGAGCCTGCATAGCCAAGTCAATTCTGAGCAAAAAGAACACAGCGGGAGGCATCACACTACCGGACTTCAAACTATACTACAAGGCTAAAGTAATCAAAACAGCATGGTACTGGTACCAAAACAGAGATATAGACCAATGGAACAGAACAGAGGCATCAGAGGCAACGCAACATATCTACTACCATACAATCTTTGATAAACCTGACAAAAACAAGCAATGGGGAAAGGACTCCCTGTTTAATAAATGGTGTTGGGAAAACTGGCTAGCCATGTGCAGAAAGCAGAAACTGGACCCCTTCCTGACACCTTACACTAAAATTAACTCCAGATGGATTGAAGACTTAAACATAAGACCTAACACCATAAAAACCCTAGAAGAAAATCTAGGCAAAACCATTCAGGACATAGGAGTAGGCAAGGACTTCATGACCAAAACACCAAAAGCATTGGCAACAAAAGCCAAAATAGACAAATGGGACCTAATCAAACTCCACAGCTTCTGCACGGCAAAAGAAACAGTCATTAGAGTGAATTGGCAACCAATAGAAGGGGAAAAAATTTTTGCAGTGTACCCATCTGAAAAAGGGCTGATATCCAGAATTTACAAAGAACTCAAACAGATTTACAAGAAAAACACAAAGAAGCCCATTCAAAAATGGGCAAAGGATATGAACAGACACTTTACAAAAGAAGACATACATGAGGCCAACAAACATATGAAAAAATGCTCATCATCACTGGTCATTAGAGAGATACAAATCAAAACCACATTGAGATACCATCTCACGCCAGTTAGAATGGCGATCATTAAAAAATCTGGAGACAGCAGATGCTGGAGAGGATGTGGAGAAATAGGAACACTTTTACACTGCTGGTGGGAGTGTAAATTAGTTCAACCATTGTGGAAGACAGTGTGGCGATTCCTCAAGGACCTAGAAATAGAAATTCCATTTGACCCAGCAATCCCACTACTGGGTATATATTTAAAGGACTATAAATCGTTCTAATATAAGGACACATGCACTCAAATGTTCATTGCAGCACAGTTTACAATAGCAAAGACCTGGAACCAACCCAAATGCCCATCGATGATAGACTGGACTGGGAAAATGTGGTACATATACACCATGGAATATTATGCAGCAATCAAAAACGATGAGTTCGTGTCCTTTGTAGGGACATGGATGAATCTGCAGAACATCATTCTCAGCAAACTGACACAAGAACAGAAAATGAAATACTGCATGTTTTCACTCATAGGCGGGTGATGAACAATGAGAACACACGGACACAGGGAGGGGAGCACTACACACTGGGGTCTATTGGGGGGAATACGGGAGGGACAGTGGGGGGAGGGAGCTGGAGAGGGATAACATGGGAAGAAATGCCAGATGTGGGTGAAAGGGAGGAAGGCAGCAAATCACACTGCCACGTGTGTACCTATGCAACTATCTTGCATGTTCTGCACATGTACCCCAAAACCTAAAATGCAATTAAAGAAAAACCTCAAGAACTTGTATTTTCTGTTTCACATGAATTCTACAACATACAGAAACTCAACCATGCCCTGTAAGAGATATTTTCATGCTGTTTAATTTATCAAAATAAAAGAGTATGGATTTCAAAGAGCTATAGAAGGATAAGAGAAAATAAATTTAAAAGACCTAAGTAAATGAAAGAAGAGAAGAAAAGGAAAACAAAAGTCAGAGAGAAAGAAATGAACTGAGTCCAAAAGTTGGACAAATATTTTAGATTCATAAACATATGTGGCATGTAACATCTTACCTTTCATATTCTAACCTCTTCACAAGGTAGGTATTGTTCTTCCTATAGTCCTGAAGCTGGTCTTCTTGTCGAAGAAACTCCTGACGAAGCTCAGCAAGTTGCTCTATCCACACGAGGTAAGAACCAAAGGAATCAAGTTCACTCATTGTAATGCTTCCTATTGAGAAGCTCTGGGATGTCTTTTAAATTACACATAATTCTCAATTTCTTTATTAACACTCTCAGAAAATTAAATTATGTAACTAATACCACATTTAATAGCCTTTTGTAACACATTCATGGTTAATAAAATTTATTCATTTATTTATTTGAGACAGTAGTCTTGCTCTGTTGTTCAGGTTGGAGTACAGTGGTGCAATCTTGGCTCACTGCAGTCTCCACCTCCTGAACTCAAGTGTTCCTCTCACCTCAGCCTTCTAGGTAGCTGGGACTACAGGTGCACAATACCTGTAGCTGGAGCTAATTTTTGTATTTTTAGTAGAGAGAGGGTTTAGCCATTTTGCCCAGCTTGGTCTTGAACTTGTGGGTTCAAGCAATCCAGCCACTTCGGCCTCAAAGTGCTGGGATTACAGGGATGAGCCACCATGCCCGACCAGTAACATTTATTTTTAAAATAATTTAGCCTCAGTGGCTTTCACACCAACCTGAAATAGTCTCCAAATTATACATTGTTTTACTTTATGTAGACACATGCTAAGTTGTGGAGACAATACAAAAAACTACCTATTTCTTCAAACTTATCTGCTTTATTAAAGTAGGAAAAAAGTCATACTTTTTAGATATGCTTACTATGGGTATAAATTTTAAGTTTTTTTCTCATTTTAAATCACATTTGACTAACAGCTTAGGTGCCAATTGCTTTAGATATATTTCTAGTTCGGCTACAGATGGTAGCTCTACATATCCCGAAATATAATGAGTATGAGAAAAATAAATGATTAACAAAAAATATTTGCAGTTAATCATTTCCTTGGCATATTCAAGCTGCATTTTAAATTTCTCTCTTTTTGTTTTTTTCTGAGATGGGGTCTCACTATGCAGCTAGGCTGGAGTGCAGTGGCTCAATCTTGGCTCACTGCAACCTCCACCTCCCAGGTTCAAGCAATTCTCCTGCCTCAGCCTCCCTAGTAGCTGGGACTACAGGTGGGCACCACCACGCCCAGCTAATTTTTTTTCTTTTTGAGACAGAGTCTTACTCTATTGCCCAGGCTGGAGTGCAGTGGTGTGATCTTGACTCACTGCAATCTCTGCTTCCCAGGTTCAAGCAGTTCTGCCTCAGCCTCCTGAGTAGCTAGGACTACAGGCGTGTGCCACCACGCCCAGCTAATTTTTGTATCTTTAGTAGAGACAGGGTTTCACCATATTGGCCAGGCTGATCTCAAACTCTTGATCTTGTGATCTGCCCACCCCAGCCTCCCAAAGTGCTGAGATTACAGGCATGAGCCACACCCTGACTTTTTTTTTTCAGGACAGAGTCTAGCTCTCTCAACCAGGTTGGAGTACAATGGCATGATCTCAGCTCACTGCAACCTCCACCTCCCAGGTTCAAGCAATTCTCCTGCCTCAGCCTCCCAAGTAGGTGGGATTACAGGTGCCTGCCACCACTCCCAGCTAATTTTTGTAGTTTTAGTAGAGATAAGGGTTTCACTATGTTGGCCATGCTGGTCTTGAACACCTGACCTCAGGTGATCCACCTGCCTCAGCCTCCCAAAGTGCTGGAATTTCAAGCATGAGCCATGGTACCTGGCCAAATTTCTCTTTTTTTAATTTGAGATGGAGTTTCGTTCTCTGTTACCCAGGCTGGAGTGCAATGGCGCAATCTTGGCTCACCACAACCTCCGCCTCCTGGGTTCAGGCAATTCTCCTGCCTCAGCCTCCCGAGCAGCTGGGATTACAGGCACGCGCCACCATGCCCAGCTAGTTTTTTGTACCTTTGGTAGAGATGGGTTTTCACCATGTTGACCAGGATGGTATCGATCTCTTGACCCCGTGATCCACCCGCCTCGGCAAATTTCTCTTTTTATATTAATTCCTCAATATGTAAACATGGTTGATTTACCCCACCCCATCTCAAATAAAAGGGATGAATCTGTGGTGGCCAGGTAGCCATAAACAACCCTTTCAGCTTATTGCCTGATCCCTGTCCCCATCTCCTAAGATATGGCAGGCCAGAGGTACCAGAAACCCTGGCCCCAGCTATGAATGCTGATTCTACAGTGACAATGAGATCATAGTAGAAAGCAGTGGCAAAAAGCTAGCTCAGGGATTGAACTAGCCAGTTCAATAAACCTGTGCTCAGGCTGGACAGGTTCTAGAACTGAAAGCTAAATCTAAAAACTACAATGAAAAAACAAATAAAACTTAACTATGAGAAAGAGATTTTAATTGGTGATCTTTAGGACTCATTCTCCTCAGGAAAAAGGATACAGAAAAATTATAGTCCCTTCTAATTCAGGCTATGCTGTAAAATACCTCAAATAGCTTCAGAATGAACCTGATGCTTAGTATAACTTTAAGATTTCAGATGGCTTCTCTGCCTCCCCACAAAACTTCTCATTGACGATATTTGAAGTTCATTTAACAGGAAATAAAATTTTCCTTTGTAATTAAAGACAGACTTAAAATACAATTGACAAAGAAAAATAAAACATTAATATAAATAAGTTTTAGTCCATGTAAAATAAGATTTTTTTCCCTGTTTGAATACAGAGAAAGTTCATAAAGCACAGAGGTAATTGGTGATTTGCAATGGGTCAAAACACAGATCTGCAAGGGGAAAATTAAACAGGTCGAAAGAAAAACTAAGGAGAAAGAGAATCAGGAAAACTAACTAATGGCTTAATACCTGGGTGATGAAATAATCTGTATAACGAACCCCTATGTTACATGTTTACCTATATAACAAACCTGCATATCCTGCACATATACCCCTGAACTTAAAAGTTTAAAAAAAAATTTTTTTACTTTTGATTGATTGACATGTGTTTTCTTTATATGAACCCAGAAATATTCTGTCTAGTATGACTGTTCCAGGTCACCATAGCAGAACTCTTAGAGTAAGTTAATACAAGTCAGGTTAACTATATAGGATGCTCCATTTCTGAAAGCAACACCAGTTATGTTTTAGAACTACATGGCTTAATTTAACTTCAAAAAATTAGGGATAGGTAAGAAATGGGTTGCCTGAGACCAGCTTTTTTTTTTTTTTTTTTTTTTTGAGACCGAGTCTCACTCCGTCACCAGGTGCCAGGCTGGAGTGCAGTGGTGCGACCTCGGCTCACTGCAACCTCTGCCTCCGAGGTTCAAGCAATTCTCCTGCCTCAGCCTCCCAAGTAGCTGGGACTACGGCACGTGCCACCACGCCCAGCTAATTTTTTTGTATTTTTAGTAGAGACGGGGTTTCACCATGTTGACCAGGATGGTCTCGATCTCTTGACCTCATGATCCGCCCGCCTCGGCCTCCCAAAGTGCTGGGATTACAGGCTTGAGTCACCGTGCCCAGCCAAGACCAGCTTTAAAAAAAAAAATTACTTCTAGAAAACTTTGACTTTGAATTTTCTTTTAGTAACAGGCATAAAAACAAGATAAACTAAACAAAATAAATCTGATATGCCAATTTATTATCTCGAGGATTAGAAAAACTAACTTTCATTTATTTCCAAGAAAATATAAACCATCTCAAGTGTCTTAGTGTCTATTAATTCTACAATACCAGATATTAATTTCAAAGAAAACTTGCCTATAAAAGGCAAATTGTCAAGAAGTTTGTTTCAGTAGAAATCATTCCAAAGTTGCAAAAGTCACATTATGGAAATTCAATTTTAAGAGTTCAGGCTTCAAAACCAAAACTTGTTCAGCTATACATACAAATCAAGATCTTTTTCTCTGCTGAAGAGTATCATCATATACAATTTCAAAACATCTCAAGATCTACTTCAACACATAAAGTACAATAAAGATTTTTAATCAGTAACACAGGTTGTCATTTTTGTTGATATATACTAACAGAAGCCATACCACAGGACACTTTTTTTTTTTTTTAAGACAGAGTGTCTCTCTTGTTGCCCAGGCGTGCAGTGGTACAATCCTAGCTCACTGCAACTTCCACCTCCCGGATTCAAGTGATTCTCCTGCCTCAGCCTCCTGAGTAGCTGGGATTACAGGCATGCACCATCACACCCAGTTAATTTTGTATTTTTAGCAGAAACTGGGTTTCTCCATGTTGGTCAGGTTGGTCTCAAACTCCCGATTTCAGGTGATCCACCCGTCTCAGCCTCCCAAAGTGCTGGGATTATAGGCATGAGCCACCACTCCTGGCCAGGACTTCTTATTCAACTGATCTATTTAATAAGCAGTTAATAAGCATTAAGTTATTCCTTTAATAAGCCCTAATAGTATTTCTTAATATTTAATAAGAAGTATACTTTGATGACAAGTGGAAGCATTTGTAAAAATTGCAGCACTGACACTGTGGCATCTTCTGTGTCATCCTAATATATTTTGGTGAGTCAAAAAGAATAGAACATGGACACAGATGCAACAAAACCAAGTGTGACCACCCAGAAAGCATTTCTAACAGAAAACCAAAGCTGTTACAAATCACAGATAATAGGAAATCAACAACTTATTTTAGCGTTACAACACACAAATAACACTTCCTAATGATCGTACATTAGGAATTGTTAAGGCGGAAAATTTTACTACATTACAAAGCCAACTAAGGTTGGCTACTTCAAGAGGACAATAAAAATAGATTATCTAAGTATATCTAAAGAGGCTCAAAAGGATAATAAAGGATATTTATGAAGCTAGAGAGCATGTACTTCCCACATACATAAACCTAGAGATGATGCATGCAGAGTTTTAAAATACAGTATTATAACCAAAGGGTGTGAAGAAGAGGATTCTTCCTTAGATCCCAAATTTCAAAGGCCAGCAGCGATGGCATAAAGTAACATAAGCAGACTGTAGGGCTTTTTTATTTTTCCATAAAAGCTATAATACCTCTTTATCACTTTGTCCAAGCAAAAATATGTGTGTGTATTTTTATATTATTTATTTATTTACTATATATTTAATCTGTCTTGCAGGCTTCTTTCTGTTCCCAGGGCATCTAAAACACTAAGCTTGGAGGCTCTATCCAAACATTCCCTAGACCTGAATAAATTAATTTAGCAGTTTGGACACAGTATAGAGGGAACACTTCTCACCTTTTCCCTAGAAATTTGATGGCATCTGAAGCTACAGGTCAATTTTCTTAGAGTATTCTCTTAAGAGCATTTCATTACACAACCCTGTCTATAGCACAAGGTTAAGATAAGGATCTCAAATTTTAACTTGGATTTATCATATATAAAGGAACATTCAATAATTCATATCTTAAGGCAAAAAGATAAATGCTTTACCATCAGAGGAGCTTCGTTCAGAAAATTTTATTTCATTAGGCTATCTACTATTTCTTAATTCTTCAGAATTTTAGGCATTTAGTGACCTTTGTTTATCTTTAATTTGTAATTAAGTTTCTTACCCTTTAAATGATGTATGTCTGCCATCTGATACGATATGTTGTTCTGTAGTTTAACCTGAAAAAAATTAAGTTTTCATTTTACTAAAACATATGCACTTTTCCCATTTTTTTGCTCATATTCACTTTGCACTTGATCATAAATGCAAATGAAAAACTCTATTTATTTATACTGTACCTCCTCCGAAATAGAATCAGCAGTAAATTCTGATCTTGTAATGCTTACTTTAAATTTGCATAAGAATATTCATTTCAATTGATAAACAATTGAACAACTTTAAAAGTTTTAAAATTTCAACTAAACATCACATAATTTTTTTTCCAAAACTCAGAGCTATGGTCACTGTCATCTAAGAGCCAGTACATAAGAATACTAACAACTTAAAAGTATACCAAAACATGACTCAAATTAAAGGCTTACCAGTCAACTTAAAAATTAAAATAAGACCTTGGATAAGCCAGAACCTTGTACACAAGGAACCACTCTGTCTCAGTTATTGCTTTAGGCAAGTTTGTTATAATTATAAAATGTAACTAAAATATCACTACAAATAGGTTCTTGTCTACCCCATGGTATCTTTACTTTGAAAGGCATAGGCAGATTCATATTAATCAGAACTAGCACCATGGAAAAACAATTTTTTTTTTTAATGGAATCTTGCTATGTCGCCCAGGCTGGAATGCAGTGGTGAAATCTCGGTGCACTGCAACCTCTGCCTCCTGGGTTCAAGTGATTCTCCTGACTCAGCCTCCCGAGCAGCTGGGATTACAGGCGCCCACCACCAAACCCAGTTAATTTTTGTATTTTTAGTAGAGATGGGGTTTCACCATTGGCCAGGCTGGTCTTGAACTCTTGACCTCAGGTGATCTGCCTGCGTCTGCCTCCCAAAGTGCTGGGATTACAGCTGTGAACCATCACACCCAGCGGGAAAAATGATTATTTTTGATACGGCGTCTTATTCTGTCGCTCAGGCTGCAGTGCAGTGGCATGATCTTGGCTCACTGCAACCTCCGCCATCTGGGTTCAAGGGATTCTCCTGCCTCAGCCACCCAAGTAGCTGGGACTACAGGTGCGCACCACCACACCCAACTAATTTTTGTATTTTTAGTAGAGATGGGGTCTTACCATATTGGCCAGGCTGGTCTCGAACTCCTGCTGTCAAGTGATCTGCCTGCCTCGGCCTCCCAAAGTCCTAGGATTACATGTATGAGCCACCACATCTGGCCTAAAGAATGTATTTTTAAACTTTTTTTTTTTTCAGAGTCTTGCTTTGTCACCCAGGCTGAGGTGCAGTGTTGCAATCACAGCTCACTGCAGCCTTGACCTTCAGCATCCAAGTCTATCCTCCTATCTCAGGCTCTCCAGTAGCTGGGACTACAAGTATATACCACAGCACCCAGCCAATTTTTAAAAATACATTTTTTGTAGAGACAGGGTGTTGCTATATTGTCCAGGCTGGTCTTGAACTCTTGTGCTCAAGTGATTCTCCTGCTAGCCTCACAAAGTGCTGGGATTACATGCATGAACCACCATGGCCAAGCTAAACTTTTTATTCTAAAATTAATTATACATTTGCATAATTGCAAAGACAGCACAGAGAAGTTCAGGTAACCCTCACACAATTCACACAATTTCCCACAATGGGTACATCTTATGTAACTACAGTACAACATCAAAACCAGGAAATTGACATTGGTACAATATATATGTATAGTTCTATCTCATTTTATCATATGTGTAGATTTGTATAAATCTAGGTTGATGATGGCATCAATCAAGATACAGAACAATTTTATCATCACAAAGATCTCCCTCATGCTATCCTTTTTTTTTAAATTTTTATTTATTTATTTTTTTATATATAAAGATGGGGTTTCATCATGTTGGTCAGGCTGGTCTTGAACTCCCGACCTCAGGTGATCTGCCTGCCTTGGCCTCCAAAGTGCTTGAATTACAGGCGTGAGCCACCACACCTGGCCTATTTTTGTTTTTTCTTATTCTTTTTTCTTTTATTGAGACATGGTCTCATTCTGTAGCTTAGGCTGGAGTGCAGTGGCACAACAGCTTGCTGCAGTCTCCATCTGCCCAGCTCAAGTGATCCTCCGATCTCAGCCTCCTGAATAGCTGGGAATACAGGCGTTTGTCACCATGCCAGTTTAATATCGTTTTTTTTAGTAGAGATGAGGTCTTGTTATGTTGCCCAGGCTGGTCTTGAACTCCCGGGCTCAACCAATCCTCCTGCCTTGGTCTCCTAAAGTGCTGGGATTATAGGAATGAGCCACCACACCTGGCCCATACAATCCATTATAGTCACCCCAAACCGCATTTCCCCACCATCCTATGTCAAGCCACTGGATGGGAAAGTATAAAAACTACTAAGAAAACATGAGCACAGTCTCAAGGAAATTAGACATGGTACCATCTAAAGCAGTATAATTGCTACAAGAATCCAGAGACCAGGAAAAACTTTATGGAATGAATTATATCTGAAATAGGCATTAAAAGCTAGGTAAAAATTTAAACAAATGGGAAAGGGGCATTTCAGATAGAGGACATGATATAAGAAAATGTACAGTAGCAAGAAAGCATGAGGTATACCTGAAAACTCCATCAACATACTGTTTGACTGAAACATATGAAAAGAAGAGTTGGAAAGAAAGATAGAGTAAAAAGACCATGGAGTATCTTTCAGTCCCAGGTAGGGTATATTCTTCAAGCTGAGAGCCCATGACTTGCAAATTTAAAATGAAAGTTTGTCCACAAACAATAGATGAAAATAGAACTGCTCTAGCTGAAGCAGGAGAAGGAATAAAAGGGGTCCCTTTTTATTTTCCCCTAGAGTCCTGGGGGCTTTGAAGAATGAAGTTTAAAATATAAAGCTAGGTTGGACACAGTGGTTTATGCCTAGAATCCCACTTCTTTGGAAGGCCAAAGCAAGAGGATCACTTGAGGCCAGGAGTTCAAGACCAGCCTGGCCAACATAGTGAGACCTATAAAACTAAAGAAAATAAAAAATGAAATTAGTCAGGCATGGTGAAACATGCTTGTAGTCAGCTACTCAGGTGACTGACAGGAGGATCACTTGAGCACAGGAGTTTGAGGCTGCAGTGAGCTAGGACTGCACCACTGTACTCCAGCCTGGAAGACAGAGCAAGACTCTATCTAAAAAAAAAATAATTATATATATATATATATATATATATATATATATATATGTATACACACATATTTTACATATATATGAATTTACATTTATAAAAATTTATATAAATTTAATATATTTTAATATATAAATATAAATTTATATATATGAAATATGTTGATATTCAGTAATTAAAAAAATGAAGTACTAGTACATGATACACTATGAATGAACTTAGAAAACATTATATATGCCAAATGAAAAGGGATAGTCATGAAAGTTCAAATATTATCTGATTCCATTTACATGAAATGTACAGAAAGGAGATTAGTGGCTGGCAGGGGCTGGGGACAAGAAGGAATGAGAAGTGAAGGCAAATGGTTTCTTTTAGGGGTGATGAAAACATTCTGGAATTAGACCATGGTGATGGTTGTGAAACATTTTAGATATACTAAAACCTAGTAAGTTGCACACTTTAACAGGATACATTTTATGGTACATGAATTATACATCAATTTTTAAAATGCAAAAAAAAAAAAAATGGCCAGGTACAGCAGCTCATGCCTATAATCCTAACACTTTGGGAGGCTAAGGCAGGAGGATCACTTGAGTCCAGGAATTTGAGAGTAGCCTGGGCAACATGGCAAAATCCCCGCTCTACGAAAAATACAAAAACTTAACTGGGCATAGTGGTGCATGCCTACGGTCCCAGCTACTTGAAAGGCTGAGGTGGGAGGACTGATTGAGCCCAAAAAGGTTGAGGCTGCAATGAGCTGTAACTGCACCACTGCACTCCTACCCTAGGTGAAAGAGAGAGACCCTGTCTCAAAAAAAAAAAAAAAAAATCCATACGCATATTAAAATGCTGACAGTACTATGGGGTATCATAGAGGAAACTGGGAGGCCAGGCTTAGTGGCTCATGCCTATAATCCCAGCATTTTTGAGGCTGAGGCAGGAGGATCATGTTCATTTAAACTCAGGAATTAAGACCAGCCTAGCAACACAAAGAGATCTTATCTCTACTAAAAATAAAAGATAATAAATTAGCCAAGTGTGGTGGCATGTGCCTATAGTCCCAGCTACTTGGGAGGTTGAGGTTGGAAGATCACTTGAGCCCAGAGATCAGGGCTGCAGTGAGCCATCATCGAGCCACTGCATTTCAGTTTGGACAACAGAGGAAGACCCTGTCTCAAAAAAAGAAAAACAGAAACTGAGGATAAAACAATGGACACACATTGTAAGTACTCAAGGAGCTTATTATTTAGGAGGGGCATCAAGTAAATAGACAATCATAATACAGTAAAATAAATGTTATCATTTGGTTCTATGGACATGATGGGAGAACTTAGTAGAAGCATTTAATACAGCTCATAGAGTGAGAGAAGACTTCTGGAGATGATGATGATGACTGAAGTGACTCCTGCAGGAAGAGTAGTGTTTAGCCAGGTATAAATAGGGAGAAGATGAGGAAGAAAGACATTGAAGGCACGTCAAAACTTACCTATGAAAATCATCTAACATTATAGGAACTATAAATAATTCCTAGTAGCTATAACAGAGAATTAGAGAGAACTGATAAAAAGTATGGCTAGAATGGTAAGCAAGGTTCACAATTAAGAAGGATCTTCCAAGAAATATGGATTCACCCTGTAAACTATGCTCAATCTTTAAAATTCTTTTAAGCAAGGTAGTGATATCCAATTTGCAATTTTAAAAAGTAAATCTCGCTGCAACGTGAAGAATAGCCCAGAGGAGGCAAGATGAGAGAAAGAGAGACCAAGTACTACTATCATATTACAGGTAAGAATGTTGGTCTAAGTGAGGGGTGGGCCTGTGTGAGCCTATTTTTGTAGGGAAGGAAGCTAAGGATGATTGTTACATATTTTAAAAGATAGCTGGGGGAAAAGAAAAATC